TGACAGGGGTATGTCCTGTTCTGGTGTGGTCTATTTGGGGTTCTAAAAGCTTCTTGTATCTGAATAGGCCTATCTTTTTGCATGTTTGGGAAATTTTCTACTAGGATCCTGTTATCCAAATTTCCTAGACTAGGTGCCTCTAGGTGCTCCTCTACATCCATTATGCTTAGATTAGGCCTTCTGATGGTGTCTTCCAAATGTTGAATAGATCTGTCCTATTGCTTGGATTTGTCTTGGATAGGTGTATACTCTTTCTCTATAATATGTAGGCTGTCTTCAATCCCCGAGATTCAATTTTCTGCATGGTCTTACCAATTGTCAAGGCTTCATACATTTTTTAAATTTATTTTCGTTCTAATTGATTGGTTTTGATGGCTTCAAATTCTTAGTTGGAAATTTGTTTTAGATCTTGTATGAACTTCTTTATTTCCTTAATTTGGTGTTCAGTGTTTATTCTCAAATCACTTAGTTGAATGGTTATGGTTTCCTTGGACTCCCATTCTCTCTGTTGGGCTCCATTCAGCATTCCCTTTGTGGTCTCCCTGACTTCTTTCAGCTGTCTGTTTATGGATTCCATGAATGTCTCTATTGATCTTTGTCTATTCTCATCCCACTCTTGCAATTCCTGAATTACTCTTTGATTAGCTTCCTCGCGTTCACCCAATGCCTGTAGTTTTCTTTGTTCTCAGCCTGCTCACACAAATCCTTTATTTCTCTTTGAGTGTTCTCAACCTGATCATGCAATTCCTGTATTAATCTTTGAATAGCTTCTTCACACTCATAAGATTCCTCTATTGACCTTTTGTTTGCCTCCTCTTGCTCCCTATCATGCTCACACTGTCTTTTGTAGGTTTTCAATCTTTTCATTCATCATGTTAGCAGTAGTGTTTGTAGAGCTTTTTGGGAACTCTCCTCTGGATTATTCATTATCTGTTCTGTCACCTGATTATCATGAGTGGGATCTGTGATACCTAGACTTGCCGTTTTCCTTGTGTTTGTCTGACTTTTTCTGCCCATTTGGTATGAAAGTAACGCCAATTTTGTGCTAGAACACTATTTTAAGTCAAGCACCAACAACGTCCTGTACTTGCACAGTCAAAAGGCTGCAGATATAATATAGTACAACCGATACAATCTATTCATCATCAAACAACTATGGATAAATGAGCTAAGAACAGCAAAGAAGAATTTTGCTAACCAGAAATTATTAGCTTTAGGGAAAAATGTGGGAAAAATAGGGTTAGAGTGATGTGGAGAGGTAAAGGGAGAGTGAAATTAACCAAGTCCTACTCTCAAAGAGGGAAATGGGTTGGACAGAGTAATAGAAGAGAGAGAGAGAAAAAAGAGAGACAAGAAAAACTGGAAAACAAAATGTCAATTTAAAAAGTGAAACTTAAAATTTATCTAAGTGAAATTGTGAGAAGAAAGGGATAGAATGAGAGGAGTGGAGGGATAGAAAGGAGATATGAACAAGTAAACAATAAAAATTCTTATAAAATTACATAGGGTTAAAGAGATAATACTGCTATTAAAGAATTTAAGGCTAGGAAGTATTGAATTGAGTAATAAATTTCTGGATTAAATATGTACACAATGGGGGATAAGGTCTAATAATCGATGATGGGTATATATCTGAGGATGACCAGAACAACAATTAAGTCACAAAAAAAAATAAGGGAAAAAAAGGAATTATGAAGAAAAAAAAGGACCAAAAGATCAAAAGAGATGAAAAAAAGCACACACACACATATATACCTAACATGAAAATTATAAGAGGAAAAAAGATATTAAAAATATTGTTTATTTTTTAAAAATTAAAAATTTAATAAAAGTTCTGAGAAAGAATTCCTGATTTTTTGGGGGGTGGGGTAATGGGAAGATCCTCTATCTCCTTTGTGTCTGTAACCAGTTTCTTGGTGGAATCTCTGGTCTGCTTGTGGTGTTTGTTTTTCCTATGACTTGATTTTTTTCTTGTCAGTTTGTTTGAGCAGGCAGAAAAATGCTCTGCTTTACCCTGGATTGTGTGATCCTCCTCTCAGTCTAGTTCAGTGGGAGGGAGATCTGCTTTGAGTATCACAAAAGAGGTCGGTGGCTGTTTCCTCTAGTTTGGAGATGCTGTGTTGAGCCTAGGTTCTGGGTAGGGTTGAAGCCTTTGAGCAAACAGTAGCTTTTCCCTGAGGGGAAAACTCACAGAGAAACTCACTGAGCCCATCCTGGAGCCATTCTCATGGTTTATATTTACTGAGTTTCAATTGCTTGTCTAGGCTGCTGTATGGAGGAGCATCCCCTGACTCTGTTTACTCAGTGAAGAAAGTCACTCCTCTGGGGGTGGAGCGACTTCTGCCTGGGCTGGGTGACTTTTGCCTGGGTGGAGCTGAGCCTGGCAGGTCAGGTCAGTGTTCTGGGACCTGCTAATTACTCCAATTATTTCCTTCCAAGGCCTGTGTTGAAGCTAGCTGCTCAGCCAGGCCTTTGTCAGTATCAAAGATGGAGAACTCCGGTGGGGTAGGGGAGGGGTGGCCTTCCTGCCTCTGCTCCCTGAGAAGGAATGAGGATGTCAGGATACTACTCTGCAGGATGAAGATCTGCTCCTTGTCAGATCTTGCTGGTGTTGAGTAGAATCCACTCGCCTGCTGCATCTGGCGCCTTTGTCCCGGATGCTGTCTGTTGTAGGTATGGTGGCTGCGGCTAGTGCCGCTTGCTGCAGCTATCAGAAAGTGCTCAGATGTGTCTCCTTGCCTGGATTTTCCCTCTCTGGCCAAACTCTCTGTACTGTGATGGCACACTTGGTGTGATTCTCTGGCCTAGGACTGTTTACTGGAACACTAACACTGCTTTATATGTGAGAGCTTGTTTATCCTCCAGTTTCTCCTCTGCCATCTTCTGTTATTATTAATTTTCTTGATAATCAATCAGCTTACTTATTGCCAATTATTTTATAATAAGATGTATATTATGACACTCAAGATGTACTCATGCCATTTGCTAGTTACTTGAACATCTTGTGGGTATAAAAATTGAAGACAATTTTTGCTGAAATCATTTTTTATACAAATGAAACCAATTTCTTTCATCAATTCCCTTTCTCAAGGCTTTCATTTACTAACTTTCCTCAGTCATGGGACTTGAACTCTGGGCCTGGGTGCTGTCCCTCAGTCTTCAGCTCAAAAAGAGTGCTCTACCACTTGAGCCACAGTACCACTTTTTGTTTTCTGGTGGTTAATTAGAGATAAGAGTCTCATGGAGTTCCTGCATGGGCTGGCTTTGAACCCTTATCCTAAGATCTCAGCCATCAGAGTAGCTAAGATTACAGGTGTGTAATCACTGTCACCTGGATTCCTTATTGAGTTTTTAAAAACTACATGTTTAATTAACTCTTTGAAAACATTCAATCTCAAAATGACATTTTAAAAGATGTAAAGTAGCAATCCTTAGACAAACTGGCTGTAAATTGATATTTCCCATTTGGTTTTAAAGCAGAGAGGACAGGAGAATCACATGTAGACTGACATTGCATGAAGAGTCCAAACTTAACAAACTTGAGGGATCTCAGACCATCTCTTGGTGTTTTCAAAATGCAGCTGATTGCATGACTTTACATATCACTCTTGTAACTTTCTTCAGGTAATATTTGAAGGAAAACAACTTTTAGGTACAAAAACTCATACATTGGATTTTAGTGTGTAAAGAATTGAGCAACAATAATAAAAAATGAATTGAGCAATAGCTGGGAGCTGGTGGCTCAAACTCGTAATCTTAGCAACTCAGGAAGCTGAAATATGAGGATGATTGAAAACCACCTTGTGCAAAAAATTCTGTGAGACTCTTATCTCCAATAAACCACTCAGAAAAACTGAGAATGGTGCTGTGGCTCAAGTGGTAAAGTGCCTGCCTTGAGCTGAAGAACAGAGGGACCGAGCCTAGGCTCAGATTTTAAGTACTGTGACCAACAAAAAAAGAATTGAGTAACATAAATTAGGTTTTACATTGAAGTAAATATCTAACCAAAGCCAGGAAAACTTAAATTAGGTGCTATTTTTTTCTTTGTCCTTTAAAGGAAACCACAATGGTTAAAATATGTATGCAAATTAAATTGCACATTATGCACATCATCTATCTGAAAGATGTCTATAGGAAAATAGAAAATCAGAACACACACTCCACGATTGTTTTATCAAAGGAATCCTGTGGGGAAAAAAGAAGGCAAATATAAGTTTGGATGGGTTAGTATTGCCAAGAAGTTGCAAAATAGAAGAAGAAAAATAAGAAAACTGTAAAACACAAGCCAATATTCTTACCATTGGCTGTTCTCACAGCCAGTTCGAGAATTTCTACCTCCTATCCCTTTGGCTGGTGGAAGCTACCAGTGCATTGCCAAGAGACTTCCGGATCGCATTATCCCAGTCTAGTTGGTTCATGAGCCATTCACCACCTGTTAGAGCAGGAGTCTGGCTTCTGCCTCTGGGAACTTCCTGAACCACCCCTACCAGGCCAACCAACCTAGGGTACAAGCTTCACCGCGACCATCAAGTGGTCCCCACACATGACAAGCAGCATGTCTGAGCTGCCCAGCTCCTGCGCATGATTTGGCGACTCTGGGGGAAGATGGGGCTCAGGGTCCTAGAAGGTGAAGGATACTCTCAGCATGCCCTGGGGCATGGGGCAATGAGCATCATAGGAAGGAGACCTGGGCCTTGAGCATGAGGGACTGCATGTGGTTCTGGAATACCGCAGGGCCTTGCCCGTATCTGGGCGCAGATTCAGCAACAACAACACGGGGCAGATCCTGAGCAGCAGGCCCAGGGGACAAGGGTGGGATCCATAGTCTATTGCTGCTATTCTGCCCCCTCTCTGGGTTGAGGTGTCTCACCTGCCACGCGTGGGCTTCTCTTTTCTTTTGTTCTCCTGCTCTCACAGTTTGGGATGATTTTCATTTAATGATTGTGTGGTTTTAATATATTGGCTATTCTGTCTGTCTGTCTGTCTTCACCCTTTCTTTTCTCCATGTTTCTGTTGAGCCTTTGCCATCATTGGCACTGCTCACTATGGCATCCACAGACCCTCGTGAGAAATGATACCACTTGCATTTTCTTTAAAAAATTTAAATACAGGATTGACGTTTATTGGAGTTGGATGGCAAAAGTAAAGGGAATTAAAGATGAATTTATGTTTTCAATATGAAAAACGTCTGTGTGTGTGTGTGTGTGTGTGTGTGTGTGTGTGTGTGTGTGTGTTTGTCTGTGTGTATGTGTGTGTATGAGCCCTGGAAGTCAGGGCCCCAAGCTCCCTCTCTTGGCTTTGTAATACACATGTGGCATTTTAACATTTGACAAATACCTCCTGTCCTATATTTTTACTTGTAAGTTAGAGATGGAGTCTCATAGATGTTTCTGTCCAGGCTAATTTTGAACTGTAATCCTCAGATCCAAGTCTTTTAAGAGAGCCACTGGTGTCTGGCTCGCAAAAAATTATGTCTAATATAGAAATTCAAAATGAATTTAATAATAGATTTCCACAAGAATGTGAAAATTTAATACACATTACCTAAGGTTTTAGTCCAAATTTTAAGAGTAACACTTTTTCTTTTTTGAGATTATGTAATTACATAAATTTCACACTATTGTGGCATAATGATACTTAGCTAAAGTCACTAACACATTTTAACCTTCACAATGCATCTTGTCATCCTCTTGATCTACAAAGCTTATGAACTCTACAGACTTTAACAATAAAACTGTTTTTCCCAAATTGTGTGATATGTACATTTCTTTCCTTTTGCTCAGTATCAGCTGTTTCCTCTTTCTCTCTCATTCCCTCCCTCCCATCATCACTATTGAGTTGCTTAGTTCACTTTCATCAATGATCAGTGCCGCTGATGGGCCCTCTGCTGTATTTTTTTCACCCATTTTCCTCTACTTCTTTGCCCTCCTCCTAGCTTCCCTCAGATGTGCATGCCTATTCAGCGTATATGGGGTCAAGAACACAGAGTGATTTAGAAATTATGTGAAAAGTAAGAAGAGGTCCTTTATTTCTTGGGTCTTGTTTAATTGTTTACTTCGTTTACTTGTTTACGTTTGTGATATGTAATTTAGTCCAATCAAATGGAGATTGAACATCACTGGATCTTAAAAAAAATAAGCAGAAAATGAAGCAACGGAAGAAAGGACACATTACCTTTTACCAGCATAGCTAACGAGATCTCCTCCAAAAATGGAGTGTGACTATTCATCTCTTTTCTCTTCTTCCATTTCTGTTTGGAAGTCCTTAGTAATTTGGTCCAATAAAATACACAAGTTTGCTAACTGTGAGCTCTAGAGATTGATTTTCCTAAGATTAATGATGAGTCCATCCTTTCCCACCTTCACTTGAGCATCTCCTGGACATTTGTGGTCCTCTGGAACAGAGGCTGGCACTAGCCTGCTCCTGGTCTGTCAGTCCTGAGGATGGAGGCTGAGCTTTCCCTATGCACCAGACTTGAAGAGATCCTTGGTTGTGTCTAAAGACAGAAGCATCTCTACCGAGTAAGTACTGATGTATTTGATACATGAAGAGTCTTGGAAATACCACCTCTTACTCATGAATATCAACATAATTGTTTTGGGTAGCCAGATGGTAGGACAGCGCAGTAAAAATTATTTCACCACTTGTGTGAATGCTTCAGTTCCCTATGTTTTATACTTTCTTATAGTTATGTTTTGTTACCAGAATGGGTAACCAAAATTTTTTTTCTTTCTACCTATACTGTACTGGCTCTGATCCTGTTAATGTCTTCCCCAAACTACATTACCTGTATTATTCTAAACTCTTTCTGAGTACTGCAGAGGGACTATCACAATCATATTGAAAGTCTGGAACTCAGTTATCAAAACAGCATCAATGGCAGGGTGCTGGTGCCTCATGCCTATGATCCCAGTTACTCGGGATGCTGAGATCTTAGGATTGCAGTTCAAAGCCATCCCAAGCAGGGAATTCCTTGAAACTCTTCTCTCCAATGGACCACTGAAAACCAGAAGTGGCAATCATTAAATGAGCACCTATACAGAACAGTGAGCACTCTCTTCTTTGAGTCATTGTAAGTGGGATAATCTGTTTGGCTTCCAGAGATTTCTGTCTCTGTGCAGATGCTTTTCTGTTTTCCATCCATGGTCCAGCAGAATTAGAGACAGCACTATGTGTATCTCTGTCATGCATGTGTGGGTGATGTCACTTCACTGAGCCACAGCTACAGCATGGAATGACATCAAGATCTCTGGACTCAGAGACATGCGCTTGTTTGTCTATTGGACTCCTCCTGGCTGTACAATGTGGTGGTGGCCTGACAATATTCCTACTTCAAGCTCCTCAACACTTTGATTTCTTAGGGAGTCTTCTGAATCATTCTTGTTCTCATGGAATTGTAAAGATCATTGAGAGTTTTGAAGTCTGAGCCTATCTGATGTTTTGTCCTCTCTTAGGGAGTTTTTTCTCTTCTTATAAAGGATTCCCATTCTCCATCCATTACTATTGAGGATTCTTAGGGACTGGGATGACAAGGCTCTGCTTGGCCAATTGTATACTCTGTATTTTTGGATTTCAATAAGAAATAATGACCAATAAGCAAACTATTGCTGCAGCTGCTCATTTGGACAACTGTAGTTATTTTGGTACACTCACATTTCTTCCCCAAAAAATACATTCATAGATTCCTGTTGGAAACTGCAACAGATTAACATCGTGCTCTTAAATTCTTAAACAAAGAAGAGAGAATGAGAGATTTTCTAGTAAAATACACTCAGTTATATAGAAAAATAGAAAATATGTGAACAGAAATGTGGAGAGCTGCGGGAGCCGACCAAAGATGGCGCGGCCGCATGGCACGGCCAAGCCAAAGATGGCGCTGGCTTCCACCTTCCGCCTTCCCGATGGCGAGTGCTCTCTGTGAAAAACAACTCCTTATATGGCTATGGCTTGGCTGCTGGCTTGCTTCCGTGTTTGCGACCCTATTGGTATATGCCACGTGGCACCTCAGGATTGGCCATCCAGGAGGCTTATAACCAGAGTGCAGGTGCGGGGCGAGAGAGAAGCTAATAATCAAGGTTCCTGAATAAACTGCTTTGAGAAGAATCCCGGGTCGTGTCTTCCTTGCTGGTCGAGGTGGATGCGACAAGTGGTGGCCCGTAAGGGGACCTAACTCCACAAGGGATCCAGAACTCTTGGCCGTCAGGGCGGTGCACCGGTAAGTTCCCAGGTAAGTGGGAATCTGCGATTAAAGCAGGCATAATACGGGGCTCTTCTCTGTAGATAAAGAGAGAGCAGAAACCCGGGAAAAAATAAAGACCTAAAGTGAAAGTAAGAATATAAATATAAAAAATAAAAAAGGGAGTAAAAAAAGATAAAATTTTTATAACGAAGATGGGCGCCGCGACGTCTCATCCAATTTTTCTGGCCCAGAATGAGCTCCTACGCTCAAAAGGACTAAAGTTTAAGAAGGGTGTTTTACAGAGTTTCCTTGAAGAATGCAACATTGTAGCTCCTTGGTTCATAGTGTCCGGGAGCCTTACAGTAGCCTCGTGGGAAAAATTAGGGAGGGATTTGGACTTTGCCTATGAACAGGGCACATTAAAGGCAGGAGTCCGCACCATTTGGAAACTGATAAGGGGCTGCCTGGAGGACCAGCGCTGCTGTGAGGTTATAGAAAATGGACAGTCAGCACTGGAGCAGTTACAGGAGGAGAGGTCAGAGAAGGCGATCAGTGAAAAGGGAGACAGTAAACAGGGCAAAAGGGGGCAACTATACCCAGATCTGTTGAGCTGAAATGGGAAAGAGAAAGTTCCAGCGAGCTAGAGGAGGAAGAAGTGAGAGCACTTATTCAACAGATGAAAAGGAGTCGTATAAAAAAGGGAAAACATAAGCTAAGCCAACCTGTGCTTAATGAGGATGTGGAAAGAACTTTTGGTCAGGCCCCTTTAGATGACGTAAAAGGAACTTCCGGTCAAGTCCCCTTAGGTCCTCCTCCATATCAACATGGAGCCAATGGGCATACCTTTTGCCCGGATACTTGGCGGACTGCCCGAGCAGAACTTGCCTTCCCAGTTTTTCAAGACGGTAATCAACAGAGATTTCATGAGCCTCTAGAATTTAAAGTAATTAAGTCCCTGGCTGAATCTGTTCGGACGCATGGGATTACAGCCTCTTTTACCATAGCTCAAGTGGAGGCTATAAAGAGATACTGCATGACTCCCTCTGATTGGGCAAGCCTAGCACGGGCATGTTTGAGTCCAGGCCAGTACTTGGATTGGAGGGCATTTATGCTGGAATTTTGTAGTGAACAGGCAGCCATCAATCAAGTAAACGTTAACCCGGCTTGAGACAGAGATATGCTCTTGGGACAAGGTCGCTTTGCTAATGCTCAGATAGGATATCCCCCTGAAGTGTATCAACAGATAAATGATGTTTGCATTAGGGCGTGGAAATCACTACCAAATAAAGGGGAAGTTAGTGGCAATCTCACCAAGATCCTGCAGGGGGCTACGGAGCCTTTTTCAGATTTTGTGGCCAGAATGGTGGAAGCAGCAGGCAAAATTTTTGGGGACCCTGACATGGCCATGCCTCTTATAAAACAATTAGTCTATGAGCAATGTACCAAAGAATGTAAAGCCACCATTACCCCACATAAACATAGAGGGTTGGAGGCCTGGATGAAAGTGTGCAGAGAGCTGGGAGGACCTCTAACTAATGCAGGCCTTGCCGCTGCAGTACTACAGTATTCAAATAGGCGGGGGAGAAACTCTGGAGCGACATCTGGAGTATGCTTCAGGTGTGGCAAGGCTGGTCATCTCAAGAGAGATTGCCCAGAGAGAAAAGGACCCGAAAGAGTTGGAGGAGTTACAACAGGTAAACAGCCAGGGCTGTGCCCCAGATGTAAAAAAGGAAAGCATTGGGCCAATGAATGTAGATCAGTCAAAGATGCTAATGGCCAGCCCTTGGGCCTCATCACGCAGCCAAAAAACGGGCAGAGGGGCCCCCGTCCCCAGGGCCCGCAAATGTATGGGGCAATGGAGAGCTCAAACGAGGAAATTCCCCAAGAAGGATGGCCCACCCTGAGGC